GATATATTTCAAAGTAGCAAGACAATCCAGATAAATAGGGACATATATAGAATTTCAAAAAGTTATAAGTGCTATGTAGAGCCATAAAAAGAGATTTTTAAGAGAAGAGCTCATGTGAGAAGATATTATGTGAGCAAAGAATTGAGGGAGTTGAAAAAGTCAGATGGAAGAAAAAGTATAAAAGCCCTGCTATAGGATAGGAACATGCCATGTGGTTTGAGGAACAGCATCTGGTGAATGAAGAAAGAGAAATAGAAATTATGGAGAGAACAAACGAAGGCAGATGTGGAAACAAATCATATGGGATATTGTAGGCACCGTGAGGTCTTTGGTGTCTATTGAGGTATAGATTTTGAACAATGATATGATAAAATCCTATTTATATTTTCAACACTTGGGCCACAGTGTTGAGGGCATTTCAAAGAAGAGCAAAAGTAGATCCCAGGAGACCAGTTAGGTTGCCTTTTATAATAGACCAAAAGATGATGGTTGTAGGTAGTAGTGGAGATAGTGGTAGGAAAGGAGAAGTGATAACATTTTGGATATATTTTGAAAATATGCTGAGTAGATTTTTCTGAGCAATTACATATAGCATATGAAAGAAAGAAATAAGATTTGTATGATGCCAAAATTTTTGACCTGTGGAACAAGAAGAATGGAGTTGTCATTCCACAGGTAGGAAAGATTAGAGAAGAGCAAGTTTGAGAAGGAAGAGTAAGAGTTTAATCTTGACCTAGTTAAGCGTGAGATGTCTGTGAGACAGCTTATTAAAGATGGAAAAAAATGAAGGACAGCGATGAAGCGTTATTACCAATAGCTACTATATGTTGACTTTTCACTGTGATAGGCACGCTTTAAGTGCCTTACATAATGTTGCCATTGAAATATCATAATAACCTTATTGTATTATTGTGACAGAAGAGGGAAGTGACACTTAGAAAGGCTTAAATGAGTTACTAAAAGGCACATAGTCAAACCTATGTTTGCCTTACTCCAGCTGTGATTTGGCAACTGTTTTATATTATATTTTAAGTAGAGGGGACAATATATGCAAAGTAGAGAGGTCAAAGGGGCATGGGATCTTCAGAAGACCTACAATCACGAGGAATATATTTGAATAATTATCTTCTAATGAATGAATTCTTCATAATTCTTTACAGTTTTAGAATTGTACATTCTTTGCATTCGTTTACTAACTTTGATCTCACAAGAGTTTAAAAGAAGATTCTATTATCATTTCAATTTTTGAGATGAAGAAACTGAGGCTGAGAGAGACTAAGGCAACATACTGGAGGTCATTATACAGCCAGGAAGTAGCAGAGTTAGGAAATGAACCAAGACTGTGTGAAATCAGAGCTCAGACTCCTGACAGCTGGTCAGAAGCCACTCTGCCTGGGCAGTATTTTATTGTTTGTTTTTACAAAGTCAAAGGTGAAATTAAGAACTCGGGGGGGGGGAGGTGTCTCATGAATGAGAAATCGTTTTCTGAGTTATAGCTAGGTATAAGTTTGTATTCACCCGCCCTGAAAGGATTTTCACCCTAGTTTTACACACACTTTTATCACAGCTTAAAACAGCAGATGGCTCTCTTGCGTTTTCTTTCGCTTACCTTCTAGATCTATAAACAACTAAACAGCGTTTTGGGGAGGTAAGAGAAAAACACAGGGATTAAACTAAAGGACCTTGATTATCCCAACGTTGCCTCCACCCCAAGCTCCCTTAAAACAGGAAACCACACACACAAAACGGCTTGTGAAATCCATAGTCTGCATAGACGCCCTGAGTCTGAGGACTCTGCGGTCCCCCTCGCTGCGCCCGGGCGGAAAGCATCAGGAAATAAAGAGTATTTCTCGTCTTCAAAGAGCTGAAAGGCTTGATGCTACAAGGATTGCTATTAATGTTAATGGAAGCTGTGAGGATTAATTTCCTTTCCACCTTGGGGGAGAAAAAAGGTGGAAAAGCTGCTTTGAAGAGAGGAGAGCATCAGAGACTCACTGCCCGCCCGCGCTCCTCACTCAAGGGAACTTGCTTTTGGGGGGAGAGCTACCCCAGGGGCAGGATCCCTGTCCGCGGTGCTGAATCGCAGCCTTATCTAGAGGGTACTGAGCAATGAAGGGAGGGGTCTGAAGGAGCCAAAAAAACCGACCTCCCAATTACCCAATCCAAAAAACTGGGGGAAAGACTGCACTGTAAGAAAATGCCTGGAAAGGAAATCATTAATACAGCTATAATAAGAAGAAGCTTAATCTTAATCTGTTCAAATTAATATAGCAGACACACATGTCATAGGATTAAAAAAAAACCTTTCAAGGCAAACTAGGGTATGTTGATTGGGGTAGTTGCACTAGATTTAAGAAGTCACTGTAGTTAATATTTTGCTTCTTTGAAAAACTCACCACTCGATTTAGATAAATATGTTTGTTTTAATCGTAAAGTCATTTGGAAATTCCAGTCTGTAAAGTCTGAAATGTCCAAATGACCTTTCTTCATTAATGGAAGGCAGGAGTAGCTACCCTTTATGTTCATTGTGATTTATTTCAGTGAATTTTGAAAAGGACATGCTTAAACCGCCATTCTCTGCAGAATGGCCCTTCCTTTTTTTGGCAGGAACATGGCAACACAACATAAATACACATTTAGTGAAAATATAAGAACAAAGACATTAAAACAGAAAATAAAGTGGTAGAGACAGAGCAAAAGAGTTAAAACACCCCTTTTCTTCACTTTTACTATCTCATGGGTTATTGAGGATTACAATTACAGTTTCTGGCAAAATTACTTCTGCTTATTCCTTTAAATAATTGTGGTTATTTTGTGGATATAACACAGCAAGATTTTGAAAATAAGCTTACACAGTATGTTCTTAAATGTTAAATATACTCTACATCATTCTAAATCCAATGATTATTGCACTGGACCTAAATCTACACACTTCCTTTAAATTTTCTTCCACAAAAGAAACTTGCTAGTAAATGTGGAGTGAATGCAGTAAGTAACAGATGAGAACTAACTGCTTACGTGGAGAGGTTGTGGATTAGTTCTGTAGAGCAGAAGGTGTCTAGCCTGTAATCAACCCTTGGCTGAGCTTCTCCCGCTTGCCTGGTTGCAAGTCTTTGTAGGACTTAACTGCCTATTCCTGAGACAAAGAGAAAGTGTGTCTGGGTTCAGAACTGTTCCTAGGACTGCTTCCAGAGTGTGCCTCTCCTGTCTCCAGCTCTAAAGCAGTCACCACCAAAGTGATTGTTAAAAGTCTCTTGATTACTGTATGAATCTTCTTTCCTCCATCCTTCCTCACACTGGATTGTAAGAAGTCTAGTTTTTGCATTTCTTTTCTTTACCTTACTTTAATGACAAAGTCAAACAGCTTAAAGGGGAGAGGAAAAGGCACTAAACCGCAGGAGCAAAATCTACAATTGGCTCTGTCACTCTGAGTGTATCCTAGAAACCACAGATCTGTATTCATCCAAGCATGAAGTGTTTCTGTCCCAACCTTCTTAAGGTGCCCTCCACTGCTCCCTTTCTCTTGGACCTTTATGTTTTCAGTTATCCAAGGCAGAACGCTGCCAGGACACAGACAGGAAGTCAAGGGGAGGAGGCAGCAGCTGTTGTATTTGAATTTCAGACACAGTTCATACGGCTTTGCTCCCTGACAGAGCTTTTCTACCCGGGGACACCAAAGACAGCAGCTCCAATTGGAGTGTCCCTCAGTCTGGCTGCTGTTTTTTGTCCCTGGAATACTGTGACACCTTCCCCCACCCTCAGTATTTCTGCAGTGACTTCTTCGGTGTGCAATCGGGCAGTTATCCCATCCAGCTGCTGTTTTTGTAGCAGCTGCACCGGCTGGCATCTCTTCCGAGTGCTGAAGAGCAAATTTGGGAAGAGGGTCTTTCCACACGTACAACCTTAGCACAGCTTCTCACCTTCCCCACCCTCCTCCTTTTTGCTCGGTGTTGGGGTCTCAAAATGACAGCAAGAGGGAGAGTCCAGCAAGTTTGGGTGGACTGGATACGGAGTGGAGGCGCCTCCCTCCTCGGGACACACTCTCCTCCCTCCTTCCTCCCCCTCCTTCCCGGGGTGGAGGGGTTTTGGCGCTGAAGGGATTAGCAGGCAGGGCGGAAACCACCTCGCCCTCCAACCGCAGCCCAGAGTTTCTGGGGGAGCAGGAGACACGTTAAGATTCAGAAGCCCTGGCCAAGCCGCGGAAGCCTCGGAAACCTGCGAGTTTCATCTAAGAAAAAGCGCACCGATATTCCTTCAATCCCACCTGCTTTGGCTCAGCCTCTTAGCACCCCGCCCCCTGGAATCCATTTTAGCTTTCTTTTTATTATTATTAATAATATTTTTAGTCATTAGTATATATATATATATATATATTTTTTTTTTCCTTTCTTTCTGAAGAAAGACATAGGAGGGGAACTGGAGGGAGGTGTAGCGGGGTGGGAACGAATCGCTTTGATTAGAGATCTCCGGGGAGAAGATTGCTCTCCCCAGATGCTGATTTCCAAAGCACTTGGCAATCACCGGCAGAACCCGAGAGCGGGCGGCGGCGGCGGCGGCACCGGCCGGGGGGCCGCTGGAGCCCGGCGCTGAGTGCAGCCCAGCCCGCCCTAGACGGACGCACGCGCCGAGACCCAGCCGGCACCTGCCCTGCAGCCCGGGAGGGGGGCGAGGCAAACCGGCGGCGCGGAGAGAGGTGGTGCCCGCAGCCCGGGCCCCACACCGGCTCCGACGCGGCCGGGGGGCGGCCGACTCGACCTCGGCCCTCGGGGCGCGCCCCGCCGCGTCCCGGGAGCATCTGCGCGCCCGGCCCGGCGCTCGGCGGAGAGGGCGATGGGTCCTGGTCGGGACTGAGCGCCCCGAACCCTCTCCCCAAACCCTCGGGCCTCCTGCCCACGCCTCCTCCAGGGCTAGCCGCCGTCCGCGCCGCCCCTTCCCTCTCCCGCGTCCCCGGCTCCCCTTCCCTCCGTCCCTCCCTCCCCGGACCCATTCCCGGGGCCACCATGGCCGCGGCCATCGCCAGCGGCTTGATCCGCCAGAAGCGGCAGGCGCGGGAGCAGCACTGGGACCGGCCGTCCGCCAGCAGGAGGCGGAGCAGCCCCAGCAAGAGCCGCGGGCTCTGCAACGGCAACCTGGTGGATATCTTCTCCAAAGTGCGCATCTTCGGCCTCAAGAAGCGCAGGTTGCGGCGCCAAGGTCTGTGCGGGTCACTGTTGGGAGGGGCGCCCCGGATCGCTCCCATCGCCCCAGCCGCAGGCTGGGCTCCTCTGCGGGCCCCCCCACCCCGTCCCTCCCTCCGCCCCCCGGCGCCCCGCACCCCCGGGCCCCCTCCGAGCGCTCCGCGCGCCTTCCGCCCGCCCGCGGGAGCCGGGAACCCGCTCTCCGGCAACCTGTAGCCACTGAAAACTCAACCCCGCCAGGCGCCGGCAAGTGCGCTGGTCTTCGCCCGCTGCCTCTGGCTCCCCGGGTCTCCTGCGGGCTGGCTTCCAGGGAAACCCTCGGTCTCCCCCGGGGGGCTCCTGGCTTCCCCCGGGGGCACAGCGCGGGACTCTAGACTGCTAGGGAACGGGCGCGGCGCCTCGGGGTCTCGCTGGCCGCTTGCGGTCTGATCGGCGGGGTCAGGGACGCGTGGGTCTGGCCTCAGGTGGCCTCCCGGCGCTCCTGGAGTCCTGCGCGGGCCCCAGACCTTGGCGGGACGTGGCGATCTCCGCCGCGCCCTCCAGGGGCCGGTGTCAGGGAAGTGAGTGGAGGGTGTGTGTGAACTCGGGGCCGGGTCAACGGAGATTTTACCCGAACGCTGCTAAGCGGGCAGCACTGAGCGCGCGGAAGCCTGAGGTCACATCTTGGGGGGATGCGGACTGGGGCGCAGAGGGAGCAAGAACGAGTCCGAATGGGGGGGGGGGGGCGAGGTACACACATCCCTAACATGTTTCCGTTTAAATTCAAGGAGTCGCGAATTACACGCAGTTACTACACGCAGATGACTAGAATAGTTGCCTTACTATACATATTTTTTTTCGAGAAACAACTAGTGCCCAGCATGACCTGCTTTAGCTGCTGTAAAATGTCAGGGTCTGAGGAGGCAACTTAGGAGCCGGAGCCCCGCGGCTTTTGTTCATCTCTGCTTGCCTCCACATCCAGTTGCTAAGGGCGATTGTGTCGAGACTATGTGGGGTGTTCTGTGCGAGAAACGGGGCTGGCTTGCTTTTCATAACTAAGTGGGCTTGGCAGGAAACGTCGAAGATTATATTTACATTAATAGGAGTATATGTTTGCCCAGCACATTATATTCTTGGTGCCCAGCTGTATTTGTTTTAAATACCCTGTTGTTCCAAAGACAGAGGAGAGAGGCATATGTTGTACGTGTGTATCTATGTGAGTGTGTGTGTTCTACACATTTACAAATTTATGACCAAAAGTTTTAGTGTTTTTTTTTAAAGGCTGTAGCTAAAGAGTTTTAAAGGAAACAGCTTATCGTGACATTAGACGTCGGGGATTATTTGCTCTTAGAAATAAACTTAAAAGGCAAACGTTGGAGAAAAATTAGAATAGCAGTTCTAAAGGAGATGACATGGTACAAACACAATACCTAGTTGCATAAATATAATATGACTTCATGAAGTATTTGGGGACAATATTTTCAAATGAGTGTAGAGGCTATTAAGAAAAATGGGTTTTAATTTTTCACGTTAGCCCAGAGCCTTATCCAGCAAACCTTTGTATAAGAGCAACTCAGCTGTTCTAAACATTGTTGATCCGTGGAGGGTCACATTATCAGGACTTAGAGTATTTGTTTTTTCCCCCTTTTAAAATCATATTATGTATTAGAACACAGTTTTCACCAGGTAGAGCTCCAAATATGCCATTTACTTGAAGTAAATAAACCTATTCTCTTCCGGATAAGATTACTCTGATATAAACATTGATTAAAACTTACTGTGTCCTCTTTAAATATACAACCAGTAGATTATTTTATAAATATGGACAATAAATGTTTTGTCATAGTGAGTAATGAAGAAGAGTGCTTTACGCTTTACGCTTCTGTATTTTAAGATGAGGATATACTTTTTTTTTCCTGGTATGGGAAGATATCTGAGTTTCCTAATAGTCTGTTCCACCATTTCAACCCTGACTGCTCTCTTGGTATTCATGAGTTGAAAATGATATGCATGCATCAATGATCTGTAAGAAAAATATATTTGAGGTCACTTTTGCTCCCTTATTTTCATGGGAAAATGGAACAGAAGATAGGCTAAAAGGAAATGTGATCAAGACTTTTCCTTTTATACTCTTTATATCTCTTATATATAAAGAAATATATTCTCTTGTGAAGAAAAATATAGATATATCTCTGGAACATCAGACATTAAGTTATTATTACTAACGAGCAAAATCAATATTAAAACTTTATATTATACAAATTATATATTGATATATCATTGTGTGATTTTATATTACATATAACTATATATGTGTGTATATATATATATATATATATAATTGTTTCATTATTTAATTAAATGGTCTTTGAGAAAATATTTTTAAGCATAGTTACCTTTACCTCCAAACTCACTCTTTGCATAGGAATTGTCCTCAGGAAATTTAAAAAATCTCATTTGTTAATTTAAAGATACAACTTTTAGGTATCACAATTTTATATCTCTTCATATTGGAACGTCATTAATTTGACAAAGAGTTCTTGAATCTTCCTAATATGTCAGGTTCTGTTCCAGGTGTTCTGTATACAGCAGTGAATAGAACAAATGAAGTCCCTTCCATCATGGAGATTACAAATATGGGCTAGAAAGTCATTGCATATGGAAAGGACCAAATTAGTAAGAAATTAGGAAACTCAAACTCCTATAAAGAACAAAGAGGACTAAGGTGGAAACTTCAGGGGTGAGGGAAGAGGGGAGAGGAAACCTGATTAGATCAAGTATGCAGGGTGGGCCACACTCAGAACCGCAGGGTGAGAGATGACATCTGAGAAGGACAATGGAAGCCCTGAGTTAGGAAAAATCCTTAAGCTGTTGAGAGAAGCAAAGGAGGTACAGAAACTAAGGGCACTGTCATCTTGTATGGGAGTCCATTTTGGCTGAAATTTACATTTCGACAGGTAAATTCAAACACGTGATATGTTGGCAAACAGAATTGAAAAATAGCTCTACATTTTGTGTTTTAAGGAAGAGTAATAGACAATTTCTTAAATGTAGGGTCTTTTTTCCCTTTTGATACTTTTTTAACTAGGAATTTATTTAATATAATGATATGGCTTATATTTACTTACGTTTTGTTGTTGTTGTTGTTGTTGTTGTTGTTGGAGCTCTACCCCTCACTCTGATCACCCTCTACCCCCTCCCAAGGAAGGGTGGTTTTTGTACCAGTTGAGTACCAGTTGTATCATTTTGTCCTCTTATAAAGGACAGGAATTTACAAGACGGCTTTTAGTGATAGTGTGGGCACCATGACTATTCCACCTTTCCAGATTTATCTCTTTACCTTCCTTACCTCCGTAGACTCCAAATACCATTCAAACTTCCCAAAATTAGCCATGTGCTTTACTCTGTGTATAGAATCGTCTGTCCTGTATTTTTGCCTGTTGAAATTAACTCCATTTCTTAAAGCTTGGAGACAATGCCATCACCTCTAAGAAATCTTCCCCCATTGTGGAGAAGTAAGAATACTTCTCTTGTGGCGTTTTATACTTCACTATCATTGTTTATGCTTGAAAATAATTGTGCTACCTCCAAAGATGTGATTGATTGTCATTCAGAAGCAAAGTCTGTGTTTTCTGCATTTTCATAGACTCTCAGATCTTCATAGAGTGTCTGCCATGTCCTGGGTACTTGGCATTGCCCTTGAATTGAAGTGAAATAAGGAAGGTACCATATCTGAAGCTAAAAGAATGTCCTTGAAATACAGTGCTCTAAATAGACCATTTTAGAGGTATATATTTTCAAATTTTTATTTTTTTCACTTTCTTTATATATGCATACATGTATATATGTACATACACATATAACTACATGCACACACACACATAACTCATCCCCCTTTTTAAGGGACTAGAGGATGATTACTATTTGTGAGTTATTCTAAAAATCCAAGAATATAACCAGCCTCACTTTAAGGCTTAACTAATTTATGAAATAGATTATGATATCTGTTAATTTAGCTAAAGAAAGAAGACACCAGGAAACCAACATTTTGTAAATAGTTTTATTTGGAATCATAACTTTTTTTGTCGAAAGTAAAAACTACAATAGAAACAACAAGCAATGATATATAATGAACACTTTATCCTAAAAGTGCTATGTTTTCATTATTAATTTTTAAACCAAAACAAGAAACTTTATTGCTTGTAGGACAATAATCTTTCAAAATTTTTAGAGTGGCTAATGCAGTTGTTTCTTGAAATCTACTTTTTTTTGGCTACTGTCATAAGGAGCCATGGTATCATGTGCCATGTATGTTTAATCAGTAGTTGTGTGGGTTTCTTACTAACACGTTTTATCTAAAATAAATTACAGAATGTTTTAAGAAACAAGGAGTGAAAATGAGCTACTTAAAATTTGTTTTCAAGTTATTCTATAATATAAAAAGCAGAAATATATCTACACCTATATCAACAAAACTGCTTTGCACTAGTGGGATGGTGAAACCCATCAGTTATCCTAAGAAAAGTGGTCTTCCTTCTTACCAGGTGTTATGTAAGGAAAAATGTGACCACTTTCTCAGGAAATAATCAACAGCAAAGAGTAATCAAAAGACCATCATTCTCTGTGCTACGGCTTCAGAGCCATTACCCTGTGAAGATACAGACCACCGGCTTATATTGGTTATTTAGGTCAAAATAAAACAAGGGAATATTTTCCTCCCTAAGTATCATCCTTCTTTTTTTGGGGAAGTGTATTTTTTAGTTTTCTAAAGCCAAGTACCTGGGAGTCTTCTTACTTCTCTTTTGATAATACCTGTTGCTAACCTGTTGATAATCATAATTTTATAATTTGTTAGTTGCATTAAGGTAAGACAAAAATCGTACTTTTTTGCTAAAACAAAATCATAGTTTTTTTCCAAATTGAAATGTCTAATTTTTTAACAAGGATATTTTGTCAAATGCAGCGTTTCTAAATGAGAGATCTTATGGTAATATTACTGAATTGGTAAACAAAACAATGTTTGAGAGTTTTAAAAAA